CCCAGCTGTCCTCCCCGGGGGCTCCGGGGCCACACTCACCCCCTGGGGGGTCGGAGTTCCTCCATTCTCTCTCTACAGTGGCATTCCAGGTCCAGGTCTAGAAGTAGTCCCGCCTCCGGTTCTCCTCGTTGATGAAGGTCGGGTTGTACTGTCCGGGGTAGATACACGAGTGCCGGGACCCGGGGAGACCTGAGAACGGGTAAAGTCCATTCCGCTCCAACTCCGCGCTCCGCAATCCGGGCTACAAATACACAAACAGTGCCGGGGAATCCCCGTCAGGGAGGAGGAGCCAACATACGCATGACATCACCGACAATGACTGACACTGATACCGCCACTGACTGACACTCCCACTGACTGACACCGCCGCTGATACTGACTGCCACTGACTGACACCGCCGCTGATACTGACTGCCACTGACTGACACCGCCACTGATACCGCCACTGATACTGATACCGCCACTGACACCACCACTGACTGAGACCACCACTGACTGTCACCGCCACTGACTGACACTGACACCAACACTGACACTGACTGACACTCCCACTGACTGACACCGCCACTGACTGACACAGACACGGACTGACACAGATACCGCCACTGACTGACTCTGACTGACACCGCCACGGACCCAACTGACTGACACCGCCACTGACTGACACAGACACCGCCACTGACTGTCACTGACACTGCCACTGACTGATACCACCACTGATACCACCACTGATACCACCACTGATACTGCCACTGACTGACAGACACTGTCACTGCCACTACCACACACACCACCACTGACTGACACCGCCACTGACTGACACCGCCAGAAACGGTAAAACATGGCGGCGGCTGTGATGAGATTCGGGGTACAGGAAGTGGGATGAATGGCCCCCCGACACTCACCGGGTAATAGACGTCGGTCATCTGGAGGAGGTTCTTGGTGCTCCCGTTCTCCTGCATCTCGATGGTCTCGCGGCCCCATTCGGCGGAGCGCTGAGACTTCGGGTACTCGGCGTACGGAGACATCTGGAGGTCACCGCTCCGGAAGATCAGCTTACTCATGTCGTGTTTCTTCTTCCTGCAACCGGGATCATCCCTGATGTCAGCATGTCGGTGAGGATCCGCCACC